GGACCGCTCCGACTGTCCGGCACCAGGCACCGCCGGACCGCTCCATCTGTCTGGCACCGGGCACCGCCGGACCGCTCTGTCTGTCCAGCACCAGGCATCCCCGGACCGCTCTGACTGTCCAGCACCGGGCATCCCCGGACCGCTCCGACTGTCCGGCACCAAGCATCCCTGGACCGCTCCGTCTGTCCAGCACCAGGCATCCCTGGACCGCTCCGTCTGCCCGGCACCAGGCATCACCGGACTGTTCCATCTGTCTGGCACCGGGCTACCCCAGACCACTCCACCACCGGGCACTGCCGCGGAAACCATCAGAAACGGCCCAACTGGTCAACCCACTTCCCCGGTGGCAGGTGAAGACCCTTCCACAGAGCAGCCGGGCTCGGCGCAGCAGCTTGCCCTGTGCACGACAATAGGTTCGGGTTAGAGAAAACGGTTCTGCGGGTTTAGTGCCGTGGCAGAGTGGGGCATGTTATGCCTGTTGGAGTGAGCTGGCTCCGCGCGCTCTCCCAGTTTGGCTTTAGCACAATGGTTGTGCTTTCTTGCTACTTCTAAATTGAGCGACCTTCTGTGCAAAGCCTGTTTTGTCTGTTGGCTGTGTGCGCAGCCACCCAGCCCTCTGGGAGAATGGAGCTGGGAAAAAAGTGTGGGTTTTATCATTAAGCCCTCAATTTTAAATTAAAGAGTACTCAAAAAAATATAAGGTACATATTGCTGAAAAAACACCTATTTGGAGAATAGTATCAGGGCATGGATATGAACACTGAGAGGGTGCTGCACACTCAGCTGTTCCTGCAGGACTGAAGGGCTCCATCACTTTGCAACCTGGTTTAGGAAGTGATCAGGTTTTCTGAGCAAGTTTACCATCTTTGTTCAATATTTATAGTGAAGGTGCAACTGAAATCGGGAATACTGCCATTTGTGACAGTGTTTCTTGTTCATCTTCCGTGACATCTGCATTATTTGCATGAAGGGGGGATGTCCTCTCCCGATAACCTGGAAGTCAGTCTGCATTTGTTTCACTTTGGGCATACTCAGCACCAGGTCTGCTCTGATAATTTTGCCAATAACATTAAAGGCAAAAGAGACCACAGCAAGGACTTTACAAAATACCTACCAAAACCCTCCCACTGCGCTGGTCATGCTTTGGAGCCAGCTTTGCAAGCAGCAAACTGCCCGCATGGCCAGGCCAGTGACCCGCTGCCCAGGGGTGGGCACCACCGGGGGCCACGGCCTCTCCCAAAGCATCGCGGCAGCAGCCCATGCGGTCGCGCGCACTGTGCCCCGTGGTGCCACACTGAGAGGCTGAGCTTGCTCCAAAACCTTGTTGAAGGAAGGGAAATAACCAGAGGTGACATATGACAAGTTAGTTTTTATTCAGTGCATCGGACTCATACATCACCGCTTCGCCAACTAACAATATTTCACACATTCCTACAAAACCAACGCCGAGTCCAGTCTCGTGTTAAAGACGCCCAGGGTAAAATGTAAAGCAGTCTATCAAATATTTACCTTAGTAAGAATAGCTTAGAGCCCAGTAACAGGCTGTGTCCAGCGCGCTGGTGCTGGGCTGCAGCAGTGGGTGGAGAATGGATCAGTGACTCACGGTTGGTGCAGGGCTTCGTTAACAAATATCTAGACCCAGCTCATTAACATCTCAGCCAGTGTTTATCAGACTGCTGTAGAGCCTGGCCTCCCTCCTGCAGCTGCTAGTATGATTTGAGCATGGGTGGAGCTGCACCTAGGAAATCCCTCATGCAAAACTACTACGGCACTGGAAAACCTGATTTGGGCTGGGGCACCCGGTCTGTGCTCCACACAGAGGACAGTCACTCTGGCGGCACAGCACGGTGTGTCCCCACATGTCCCTGTCCCCACAACTGGGCCGGCAGCAGCAGTCAGAACGGCACAGCAAACCAAAGAGAAATGCAAAGTGCTCAGGCCTGACTATGGGGGCAGAGCGAGACGTTTTCAGGATGGAGGGGTCCTACACTGCAAAACTCTGGGCAGGGATGCCTGCACGCACAACAAACCAGGCAACTAGGTGGATGGTGGGGAACACGGGCAGCTGGAGCATCCCCGCTGGTGCCACTGCTGGGGCATGTCTCTCAGCCCCGCACACGCTCTACTCCCTGTTCTCTCCCACACAGGCAGGCAGTGTCCTGAACCCTGTCCCACCCATGGGACAATGCTTCATGGGTATGGCTTGGAGCTGGTCCCTCCTCCCTCCTGCAGGAATCACCCTGAGCAGCACAGGGTGCCCTGGCAGGGGAACAGGGCTGGTGCCAGTCTTGTGGCTCCCCAGCAGAGCACTCCCAGCAAATCCATCTCCGCTCATCCCCCTCCACCATCCTGCTCACGTCCCCACCTGCCCTGTACTCCGGCCACGACTCTCATCCTGCCTCGTCCCTGCCCTCAATCGTTCATTCATTCTGTGTCTAAGGAAGGAGAGAGCACATTGCCAAATCAGCTATCTCAGAGGAAATCTATTGAGTTTTATTGAGCTGCCCGTTACGGGGCCTGGACTGTTTATGGGCAGTCCCTGCGGCGAGCATGTGGCGCTAAGGCATGGTGACCGTCCGGCCGGCGCTCCTGGCTGCTGTAAAGCGCCTCTTATTCCTCAGACCAGAGAACCTCTCATCCAGCGTCAGGCTGGTCTGCAGGGGAAAGGGAGAGCGAGTCAGTCCCGTGTCTCGTGGCAAGGCACGGCCAAACCTGTAGCAGGGTATTGATTAGAGCCCATCAGTCAGTACGGTGCTTCACAGCCAGTTAGTCAATTAAACCACTCAGCACATGGAGACAAGGAGCTTGACAGACTGTGTGCGGCTGGAAAACCTCCAAGCAGTGCCAGCCCCAAGACACCAGGCATCCTCGACAAGACCAGGAGCAAGCAGATGGCACTTGAGCACAAAGCATCAAGTAAACCCAAACTGTCCAGATAAGAAATGACGGCAATGAAGAAGGTGGAGCAGGATTTCTGACCTGCCTCGGGTCTCCTGGACCATACTTCAGCATCAAACGTGGCACCGAGAAGGTCACCAAAGCAAAGAGAGAGCAAAGCCCAGAAGTGCTGTGTGTCTTTGAGGAGTGGGGAGCACCAACAGTGAAATGGTCCCCCCCAGCCAGGCCAGCTCACAAGCAGCATCTCCCTGCTCCAAGCAAGCACATGGACAGGCCTAGAGGCACCAACAGAGTGGGGAAAATCAAGCTGAGTCTGTAGTTGCTGACCAGTCTTCTCAGATGCCTTCACTTTTGTAAGTAACCCAGCCAACACGGCTGCAGGACTTTCCTCCTGGGTTATGCTAGATAAACCCAACTGGCAGCCCCAAAAACCTGAGCGTGATGTTAACAGCTTAGGGGCGGGGCTGCTGCAGAGTGCAAGGTGCCGCCTGTCCCGTTGACAATCCTCTACCTGGTTGGCCATTGCACGGAAATTGAATCTCAGCAGAACTCCCTTGGGCTGGGGCTTGGTCATCCGTGGCGGGGGCCTCTGGCTTCGCAGGAATGGGCGCTTGGATCCGGGCCTGGGGAAAGCATGGATCTGCAGTCACTCAGGGTGTTGAGGCAGCTCGCTGCCTGTTGTCTGCAAACCAACAAGGAACACAGGAGACACCCGCCTGCCCCATACGCCCCATGGCATGTCTCATGGCAGCCTGGGTGGGCCTAAAGGGTGTCAGGAGAGCTGCTGTGCAGGCAGAGTTCCAGCACTGGGGACCGTGTCACATCAAGGCTACCGTGGGGTGCTCTCTGCACCCAGAGCATGCCAAGGGCCCTCACCCACCCTTCTTTCTGCCCCTGGGTGCTGCGTGCTGGGTCCTGCAGCTGCACTGGCTCAGCCCAGGGGTGAAGCTGTCCCCTTCCAACCTCTGCACTCCCCTTACACAGCAAGTGTGAGGGGTCCCTTTGGGGCGCTTGCCATTTCCCCACGACACCCCACAGTGAGCACAACCAGCCTGCCACCTCCCATACGCTGCTGGCACTTTCATTTCTCCTTCCTCCAGATAACAAATGAGCCACACGGTAATTACTGTCTCCTTTCAGATATGCCAGGAAGGGAGGGAGGGAGACATCATTTGCTAACCATTTTGGGTCTGAACCATTCATTGAAAACTCATTGTAGAAGAAGCGAAGCTGCAGTAATGCTAAAGGGATTTGCAATGGCTTTTGTAGGGCTCCCATCCTAACAAATCACCTCATTTACTTACACGCCGGTCTGGCCCGCCTGTGGATTAGCCACAGAGACCGTCAGAACTGCTCCGGGGCTGGGTTTCACTTGCCACCTGTCGAGACAGGGAGATGTATCCAGCTTCCATTCAAGCACGAAAGAGCGTGTCGTGTTTGCAGCGTGACTTTTTTCACCAATTACCTTCTCATCCTTGGTGGTTTCCCTTCTCCATTAGCATCCATCTGCTGTGAAATACATTTAAAAATAGTGACTTAAAGAATTAGCTCTCAGAAACACTGATTCCTTTTCCAGTATTTCATTTGGTGTATCTGAATAGCTCTTTCCTTGCCTGTTGTCAAGAAATTTGCTGATTTTGGGTTTCCTGCAGGCAGAGGGATCTCTATGGGGTGGCTTTACCTTCCCTGCTTGTGCTGCTGTACAAGCTGCAAGGTTTAATTTTATCACCTGCCTAGGTTTTATTTTCCAGCCACCAGAATATTAAGCTGTATTAAAAATTGCCTGTCCTCCTGCAAATACTTTCCTAGGAATATATGCATTGTTAAAGTCATCCAACTCTCCCAGTTACTTCTGGAAGCAAAGCACAACTAGGCAAAGGCTGGTAAAACGAAAGGCTTGGCATCATCACCAGGCTGCAGAAAAAATGTCTTGATACTGACCCCTCTCTGGAAGTTGGCTTTGGAGAACCGCTGCTGCACCCGCTTCTGCTGGAAGGCTGGTCCTCTGTTTAGCAGGAAAGGCCTGCTGGGAAAGGAGGAGAGAGAAAAGGATGTAGGTGAATACGATGCCAGGTCTCTCCTAAAGTTTAATGCCGAAATACCTAACCCTGTGTGAGATTACAGAGCAGTATGAAAAGCAAACAAGGCTGTGTGTTACCAAGTTCAGCCCAAGAGGTTTTTCTGCCAGCAAAGGATTTCAGAGGAACTCATTTTTCTGCTCAAATGAAACAACAGCTTGTGTTTGTTCTGAAGTCTGCTCATTAAAAAAAAAAAAAATCATGGGAGAAAAACATAGGAAAAAAGCTGGTCAGAAGGAACCTCTGGAGCTCACTCAGTCCCTGCTCTGCTCAGAGCAGAAAACGATGGAATTGCAACGGAGCTGCCTTTTGAGCACAAGGACCAACAGCCACCGAGACTGTGCCCCACGCCCGGCAGCCTGCCTTCGTCACAGCTCCTGGGGTGCAACATCTGCTCCTGCAGCCCCTCACCGGGACAGACTCCCTCTCCCTCTCTGTTCCTTATGGCTGGAATCTGTATTTCCTGTTTCATCCTTCAGCAGTTTTCCCCAAAGTGACAGAGGAAAAGTTTAATAAAAATACAAAGGTCACACTTTCTGTGCTTTCTAAAGTGACACATCTAATACCTGAATTATTAACTATCAGCATGAGGTTGTTCTATTGCCAGGTGCTTTTCCAACATACCCAGGGGTATTTTTCTCATGTTGCATGAGCTGTAGCACTCCCAGTTGGCACAGACTGAGCACAGAGCCCCAGCAGCTGCACAGGGAATCACTAAACCCAAAAAAGCCCAGAGTTACCGAAGATTTTACCTCCTCCCTGGGGCGTGGGTGCTGGCAGCAGCTGCTCTGAATCTCTTGGGGCCTGGGGGTGGTCGTCGCCGTCCCTCCGGCTGCCCGCTGCTGCTGCTTTTGGTGAAAGCATCGTTGCTCTTGTTGCCCTGGAAGAACAGCGAGAGCTCAGCAGTTGCCACCTGTGCCACAATCTCCGCGCATGAAGAGGGAACGAGCACGAGTGACAGCACACAACTGTCCCCCCCTCCACTGACTGCCACTGCCTGAAAAGCCAGTGAATTTAGAATCACAGAATCTTTCAGGTTGGAAAGGATCTTTAAGATCATGAAGTCCAACCATTAACCCAACACTGCCAAGTCCACCACTAAACCATGTCCCTGACACCTCATCCTCACATCTCTTGGGTGGTGACTCCACCACCTCCCTGGGCAGCCCGCCTCTCACTAAATCTATTAAAACCTGGTCTCGTATATCTACGGCAGCAATATTTTTACCGAGCAGTATTGCTGTAATCTGAACATTTGGGCTTAGCATGCACTGTTGTCAACAAGCAGTACATGTACCTTCATCCTTGGGCATGAAACTACAAGTACCATGAAGAATGTTTCATTCTAATGGTGCAGAAATACCAAGAAAAATTAGTCCATGGAGAGCAAATCTGGCACAAGCCAAGCATTACAGCTTTGCTCAGGTTTCTTTTCGGTCATTGACTCTTTCTTGTATGGACACGTACGTTGCCCAGTCCAAGCCCTGCATGAAGCGTATCAGAAGACCCCTTGGCAGCGTAGGTTCTCTTGCAGTTACTTATACAAACTGCCACAGATTCCATCCCATTTTTTATTGTGGGACAACCACCACCACTGTTACTACCCACTAAGTGAGATGTGTGTCCACATTCTTCCCACTTGGTTTATTTCTGCAAAATAGAAACTACTGTAGAATTATGCCTCCTGGCAACTGCTTATTACTTTCTGTTAATACCCAACCACACTCAATATCTGAGTCACCGCAGTCTTTATTTTCAGGAATAACCACACTCCATGCACATGCATGCTCCGTTTAGGGCTCTCTTATTTATACCCCCAGGACACAGCTATTGAATGTGCCATCATGTTTGCCACTTTGCTGTGTTTTTAAAAGCTTACTGAGCATACGTGACCTCCTAATTGAGTGGACTGGAAAAAAACCAACCCCCTCTCAGAGAGGACTATCTACCTGCTTGATTTCCACCTTCTACACCAAGCTAGTTTAATATTAGTGATACTCCAAAGGAAGCTGTAAGAGCTACTTTAATGGTGAACATGAACCTTATTCCCAACTCTTGAGTCTCAAAAAACAAATGAAAATATTTCATGTGTGTTTTTGAACAGAGACAAGACCTAAGCATTTAAACTTGAAAAAGGGAAAGCCATGAATGCAAAAAAAAGTGCATTTTACACTGAAGCACTTGACAATTTGACCTATGGCTGTCACAGTACTGGGAGTCAGTGTCTTTGTAGGGGAAAACCCACTTGCTAGTGAAAACTATGTCCCTGAACCAAAGCCACTTGAAGCCAACAACAGTCTGTCCTTTGACTTCACCTGACCTTGGAAAATGCTCTGGGTGGAGGATGAATAAGTGTGAATCTTAATATTCCTTCCCTGAACGATAATAGTAAGATGAGATGACATGGAATTTGTTTTCACGGAAATATTTTAAACTATTTTAAGAACACATTTTTAAAAAAATCTTTTTCTGTAAAACCCATGGGAACTGATTCAGTAAAATTATGCGAAGTCATAAGCTTATAAAACCAACTGGAAAATTGCTATTTTATATGCATATGTGTCTGTACTCACCTATGCATACAAATGCTGTGCACAGGCATATGAAAAGATGGTGCCTGTAAAATTTTTATGCAGATTGTTCTTTGGGGTGATCCAGCATCATAAAATCTAGCAGATTTTTACATGACATTTGGGAACAGCTGTACCTTCCTTACCCCCCTACCTCTTGAGCTGATGCCTGGCGATTTAAAGGGCTCACTCCATTTAATGTGGCAGCTGCTTTTCTCCTGGCACCGGGCACAGTATTCCTGAATGGTCTCCGATTGTATTGTTGTTGTCCAAACCCTCTTCTGAAGCGGTTAGGTCCTACAAAAATAATCTCATATTTTAGCATCCTTTAAAGCTCGCTTCATGATTACAGTTTTGCAAGTGGATTACAAGCTTAACATAATACGATATAGGACTATCTATATAAATAGTGAATCACATTAATTTATTCCAGAAAAGTAAATTAATCTTGCAGAATATTAAATAATTTACCTTTCCAACGTCTCACTAACATTCTTATTATATGTAGGACTGACAAACACATCATTTGATTTGAAAGAATATAGAACAGAAAAGCCTCCCACAATTCTGATTCCTATTAAAAGCAGGAACGCATGCATCAGGAAACCTGTCAATCCGTTGTCAGAGCTCACATTGCTATGAATTAACTGTGAAATGGAAAAAGCTTTTCGCCTTTTGATACAGATATACAAGTGACTTGACCATCTGAGGCCACCTCCCAGCAGCCTGGAATAGCTCTGAGTACCCAAATTACAGCACTTGATAAGTGAAGACTGGACCATAATTTTTGTATATATTTATGTTTGGGGTTTTTTTTAGCTCAACATATCCTTTCTTACTGCATATATTGAAGGGGGCACCTTCTGCTGCTGGTTTACGTAACTGCACAGTACATGCCCACCAACAGCCCATCTTGCATTTAAGGTTTTCCCCTAAGCCTGTTTATGATTTTGAAGTGTGCTGAAGGGTCGAGCAAGAGGAAAGCACTCTGTCAGATGGAGGCACAGTGCATTAAAGCCTAATTACTGCACCTGATAAACTTCTGTAGTCATAATGAATATCTCTTTTCCAGGTCTCTATGCCAGTGAAATGTGCACCTGTACTCAGGGGGGTGTATAAATCAGGCATAAAGCATGGCAGAGGGCAGCAAGAGTGCGGCTAAACCCCTGCACCATAGAGCAGAACCCCACTGACACAGACCACAGAGCAGTTAGACGCATTTATTGATCCTATCCCATCGATTCTACATCACAGCAATTTACAGTGACTTGCAGCAATTAGAAATGAAGTGTTCTCAGGCAGCAGGGACATTGCTGTCAGGGGCCATCACCACAGTGATTAATGAAGGCTCCAGCCCCAGGCGGTAACACTGGTCAGTGCCATCGTGGGCTGGTTACACTGGAATACAAGCGATGATTTGAGCTGCTCTGGCTCTAAAACAAAAAGGGTGCCAGGGCATGTCTGTGGGAAGCACCTCCCGAACAGCACATCGGGGTGCTTCGCTCCCTACAGCCGGAGGTGCTGCTTGGGAAGACTCACAAAAATGCAATCCTGCTCATGAGCTCTGTGGGGCCAGCAGTTATTTTCTTTGCAAACGACGCCCTCTCACCACAGAAATGCAGGTGTGTAAATGTTCCTTTCCCAAGAAACACTTGAATTTGGCAATCTGTGTCTTTTTGACCAGAAGTGGTCATGCTGTGTTTAATCGCCATTTTTTCCCCTCCTGATTCTGTCCCCACAGTTTATTTTTGCCTTTCTTGTTCCCATCAACAAGCACCCTGGGCTCTTGCCTGTTTGCCAGACCGCCCTCCTGCACCCTGGAGAGGGCAACTCCTCTTGCAGCAAGACAGACTGAGCTCAGCTGCCTTTCCTGGGTATCTCACCAGTGCAATGGGAGGGACTGATGCAAAAGGCAGCCCTAACTAGAAAATCATGTCCCTGTCAGTCAGTTCACATTAAAGAGCCTCTGCTCAGTAGTGCACTCAGGCACGCCTCAGCCAGTGTAAATAACTAACGATGGAGCCATCGGCCTCCGAGGGATACCCTGTGTACACCAGCTGGGGACCAAGGCCTCGGCTCAGTCTGTCATGTATCCTGACGTGTGACACCTGGGAGGCTCCATCTCTGCAAAAAGTCTGGCAGATACTCAATAATGAAAGAATATTTGAATAAAATCACACAGCATCAGCCAGGGAAGACACCCTCCTTGTTTGGGAGCATGCTCAGTGCCTGGTGCTGAGCACACTTGCGTTAATCACGAGGCACCTCTGCCCAGCAAGTTCAGTTTGGGGAGAAGCACCAATCTAGACAGGCTCTTCTTCCAAAGTGATTTGAAATTCAAATTTCTTGTCATTACAAATCATCTTTCCACCACCGGGGAGATGGCTCAAGCCATATTCCAGGAGGGGGAAGAGCACTTTGCTTGCAGGAATTCTTGTGCTGGTTTAATCAGCATAATACCCTTCTCCATGCTCTGTCATTACAGAGCTGGGCTATTCTGATCGTCATTTTGATAATGGTTATCACGTCTCAGCCCAGAAGGGACTGCATTTCAGCAGGGACCAAAGTGAAATGAGCCCCTGAAAAATTACAGGCTAAATTCCCAGTTGTGCTAAGCTTCCCAAAATTGCCTCTGACATCAGCTCCACAGAGCATGGTGAGTCCCTGCACTTGGCAGGGCTGAATTCAGACTCAGTTAAAAACCTATGAAATGCTGAGAGTACGAGAAATAATTCTATAAATGAACAGAGAAGTTCTCCTTTTTGAAGAACAGCTAAAAAATATGTATTTTTAAAATTTCTTTGACTCTGCATGCAGTAGTTGCTTGAGTGTGAAAGAATATCAAAGCCTGTGTTTTTGACAGAAAAATCAATTTGCAAAGGGCAATTATCATCATTCTGTTCTGAAACGGAACGATTCTTGGTAAGGCAATATGTGGTGGAGACCAAGAACATGAGAGTGGGAGGCAGATCAGAGACAAGCAGGATTGCTCCTAGCAGTCCCACTGTCCTGGTGTGCCACTGGCACTACAAGGGAAGACTGCAAAGACATCGCTGCAAAATGTCACTAAAATCTTTAATGAAGTGATTTAGCAGTAACTTAAAAAAAATATAATTATAAAGATGGCATTTCATGCAGCAGATCACTTTGGTTTTGTAGATAAAAGCTAGTGGAACCAAACATAGATTGGTGTGTGATCACATGGTATTATAAAAAACCTCATCTTAAAAATAGCATGGTTGGCAAAAGTGATAAATTAGCTCCAATAACTGAGCTATCAAAGACAGTTACTGAAGGGTAATTTAAGTGTGTTCTGGGAAAAAGAGGATTAGGAAGAGGCATAATTAAAATATGCAAAGCCAAAAGGGAATAGAGAATAGATATTAAGTCACACTGAATTAGTAATTCATGAGAGGGTGAAGGGAGAGAAATGGATGAATTTATGCTCTGAAGGGGCCCTGATATTCCATTGTTGCAGAGAGAAAAGCTATTCAGAGCCCGAGTACATCTCATATGCACACAGGAATTAGATAAGAGAAGGATTTGAGAGCTGTATTTTTTTACACAAACGTGTTTTCCAGCTTGGCAGGCCTCCACTGTCCCAAGGTGCTCACCTACCTTGCAAATTCCTTTGCATCCATGCACGGAAACGGGGCCGTCCATACCCATACGCTGAATTCCTGTTCTTGATCTGCTGCCTTCGCCTGTCCCCAGCAGCACTAGTATCTGTTTGCTCTTTCCTGTGGCGTTTTATGATGTCATCTAGATCAAAATGAAAAAGAGGAAACCCATAAAACCTGCACTTTCTACTAACAGTGATTCTAACTTTTGGTGCTTGCAACTGTCCGCAGTGAAAATGGAGCTTGCTGTTCTGTGAGCTACGCTGACCAGACAATAAAAGATTAAGCTTAGCTCAGAAAGTATAGGATCAATTTACTCGGCTCCTGTGGGCTGGAGATTAGAGTGTAGCAAATTATTTAAAAATGTGCTACCAATCGGCACGTATCCCCCACGTGCAGGACAGAGATTTCAGAGCCACATCCCACCGAGGAATCCGATCCTGCAGATTTCCCACAAGCATAAGGGAATATGGGAGCTCAGTGATGGGCAGAGAACATTTTTTGAGAAGGTCTGACTTGGGAGGCTGCAGGAGAGGTGCTCAAAGTGGGGAGAATAGGCAGAAGCACCCATGGGTGCACCCACACTGTGACGGCCACTCCAAGGGCTCCTCCTGCTATGTGCAGGACACAGGCACTGCCCCGCGAAGAGGATCTCCCCCTGATGTATAAACAACACTAACACTGCCCAAGTGTCACGCAAACACAAGTGGGACGAATGTTCCTGGTAGCCCCTAAATTTGTCAAGGGAAGAACTGAAGCATGGCGCAGCGAAGGCTGCAGTGCGGGGGCTGCGGATGAGAAATCTCACTTGTACAAGGCAACTTTTCAAGAAAAGGGACACCATGGTCCTGCAAGCACTCATGGTTCACCAGGAGGTTGTAGGACAGTTTTCTTTCAATTCCCATCTCCTGGAGTCAACTACCTGCATGTCCTTCCTCAGTGTTTTAAAAAAACAAGGCAAGTTGCTAGCTCTTGGTGGTATGGGATGAAGCTTGAAGCCATAAATCTCTATGGCCAGTGAGCAAATAGATGCAACAGGCATAATGAGTATCAGCAGTATTGTATTGTAAGTTCCACAACCTTCAGGACCTGACTCTTGATTTTCTGATTATCCGGGGTAGATGCTCCTCCTATTACTCAAAATAGCTAACCTAGAAGCAGCTGGACAAGGATGTATTAACCACAGAGCAAGAACCTCTTAGGTTCTACTGCTCTCTGGTGAAGCAGAGAGTGAGAATATCCCAAACACAAAAAGACTGTGCAGGGGATGCCTGTTCTCCCCTGCAAAACTTGGGGTTTCCCATATAGACCTTTCTGCACAACATCAAGTGCACCAGCTGTTGTGCTCCACATTGAACACATTGATTCAGCCTCCATGCTTGCCCCACTGCCAGCAGCAGTAAGGTATTTTGGGAACCCTGCACAGTCCTCTGCAGACAGGAGGGAGGGCAAGCAGCCGGCTTCTGTGCTGCCACAGTTCAGGTGCCGAGACCAGGCACAGCTGCCTCTCACCTGGATCCCTGTCACTGGTCTGCCACAGACAGGGTATAACCCAGCCTGAATGCAGCAAAACAGACCCGAGATGACCAGCCAATGCCCCAGGACCTCCCTTGACCAAACTTCTCCTTAGGCAACTCTGAAAATGTCCCCTACTGAGCTCTTGCAGGAACTATGGAACGTTTCTCACTTTCTTTGCAAGACACCACCCAAATACAGTTCCCAAGTCGCTGGGCCTGTATGAAACAGCCCATTATTTTCTCTGTGATTTAGACAGTTCTGTTTTAAAACCAGTAGCACTGAGAACATGACACAAAATTTCTCCTAAGGACATTTTGCCACTGTGCTTCACCAGTTTGGACCCAGCTAGGCATCCCAGTGCTTCCCTAGGCACTGCTGCCGTAACAAGCTGTACATCCCCAGAGCTGCACCGAACTCCTGTGTTTTACAACAGGGAGAGCACAAGAGACATGAGGAAGGTGATGATCCACCTACAATATCCAGAGTACACCTGAAAGGGGCTTGAAAGCTCATGCCCATCGTGAACAACTGCTTTTAACTTTTTAAAAGATGGTACTGGAAGTTGAGGTATCTGGACCATGCACAAACTACTTTTAGATGCAGAGTTCTATCAAGAAACAGCTCAAAGCCCCTCAGTTTTCAATGAGTTGGTCTGAAATCAAGGGGGTCTTCTTAATTCAAGCTGTTCTGATGAAGAGGGAAGGCAAAGGGACATCTCATTAATTCATACTTTCCAACAGTTTCTTCTATTCATCTCAAACCTTCCAGAAAAAACAAGTAATAAAGCCACATCTATTAAGATCCAAGCAGAATGTTTTAACTTTACTTAACAAATTAGTGAGGGAATAAGTGTCCAAATCAGGCCTTTTCCGAGGCAGTGGCTACACCAACTCCTTAACGAATCACTGGAGTGGAAGTACAGAAGTGCCATTTGCTTTCAATGGGTGATTATCACGAACAGCAAATTGTACTTCCAGCGCTTGTCACTTGTCATTTTCTATCAAGAAACTCCTGTGTCCAAATTAATACAAAGCCTAGGGAAAAGAAATGAAAGCAAATGGAAGAATAGGCTGCGTGACTGCTTTTGTGATTTCTCTATCAAGTCTGCCAGGAAGAGAGCACACTGGGAGAGGCTGGGCGATGTTCTTGGTATGAATGCGCTAATGTTCTCAGCTAAGTGTGCCTTTGGGACATGTGCTATTTGGGGCACAGACTGCTTTGAAGCGTATCAACAGCACCCCTGCTTGCTCTGCAGGGAGGCGGACACAGGCATCCAAAGGTGGGCTGTGTACAGTGCGAGGAAGAGCTCACTGGGGAGGAGATGAATGCTTAGGTGTCCAGTCTGTCACCTTTCTGTGTCTTTTTTTGTTTGGGTATGAGCCGTTACCCTGTCTTTTGTGCCCATGAATACGATAGGATTAACACAGCAGTGTAATAGGGTCCTATATAAGGCTGGAAGGAATCCTGAGAGGTCATTTAAGGTACCCCTACACCCTCAAGACAGAATTAGATTGATGAGGGCAGCTTTAGAGCAACTCCTGCAGTCTCCTATGACTGCTACCTCGAGTAAGGCCCAACAGATATGAAAGCACAGAAACAAGCACCTGACAGTAAAAGTATCAGTTCTTCACCAGGGCTCTTGGTTTCCAGTTCTCTCCTTTGCCCTGAGTAAGGTGTATACTGGATTGAACACGGAGGTGGACCACAGGAGGTCTAGCCCAGGGAAGCACTAAAGGAGAGCAAAAGCAAAGGGTCTAGCAGATGTCAGCGAACAGAAAAAGGGTGTGCAACACTGGGGGAAAAAAAAAAAACTAAATGAAAAATTAGGGACCACTACAGCTGTAAATCCTCATAGCACCATGAAAATAAGGGTCCATCAGCCAAGGGATCAGTTTGAGTTCTCAGTGGAAAATGTTCTCCTATTCCTGGCAAGCGGCTCATTGCTGGGCAGAAATGACACAAGGTTTCGGTTAGGAAGCTGACCCAACAATAAAAGGTGCTGGTGGACTCTTCTTCCACAGCAGAGATGTCACCATGATAATCCAACGAGATCTGTATTTTCCAAGCATGGGAGTCCAGGCCTTTGGAGTTAATGAAAGGGCAGTTGTTTATGCACAGTTCACATATCCGGTGCCAGAGGAATGGTGAGCATCACGAGCAAGCGGCTATAAATAGCCTGCACACCCGAGGCCATGTCTCCTATCTTTAGTTCAATGGAAGGCGCATTTACGTAAGCCTCTCCCCTCTGAAGTTGCGGGGTGCTGCCAGCCAAGCTCAGAGATGGGTTTGAAGCCCCGATTCCTCTGCCCTCCCGCCCCATTCCTTCGCCTTTTCC